TTTAAGGTATCATTCTAGTTGGGGAAGAATATAGATGGTGTTAACATGATAGAATCATGCAGAGCCCTAGATAATGATAGGAAAAAAAGACACACATATATGTTTATCCTAGCCCGTGGGTGCCAGAGGAGATCTGGAGGGGAATAATACTTGACATGAATCTTTTAGGATATGAAGCAGGTAAACAAAAAAGGGACAGGGAGCATGTTCAGGCAGAAGAGACCTCATAAATATCAGAAGGGGACCTATTGGCAAACTGTGGGAGTTGAGATGGAGAGGTAGGTGGGAATACCTGGAAGAAGGCAATGAGAACCATGTCAGGGTGCTTGGATTGTTTCCACTCACTGGAGTCCTATACATGAACCCTTTCAGGAAAGTTAGGTTTGATTGGATCTGTGTTAGAGGGGTGGACATGTGGCCTACTGCTTAAGATGATGTTTGGGAATTCTCATTCCATATCAGGGTGCTTGGCTCCACTCCTGAGTCCAGCTTCTTGTTAACGGACACCCTCAAAGGCAGCAGATGATGGCTATAGATTGGATACCTTCCACCTACATGGAAGATCTGGATTGAGTTTCCAGCTTTGTCTGGTGCAGTTTTGACCATTGCAGGAGTTTGAAGAGTGAGTCAGAAGATGGGAGCTTTCTCTGTCTCTCATATAATAATGAATAAATAAATAAATTAATTAAAAATTTTAACGGTTTATTCTATTTATTTGAAAGGCAGAGTTTACATTGAAAGAGACAGACAGACAAAGAGACAGAGATAGAGAAATATTCCATCCGCTGGTTCACTCTCCAAATAGCTGTAATGGCCAGAGCTGGGTAGATCCGAAGCCAGGAGCTTCTTCCAGGTCTCTGTCCTTGAGTGCAGGGGGCCAAGGACTTGGGTCATCCTCTGATGCTTTCCCAGGCACTTTAGTAGGGATTTGGATCAGAAATGGAGTAGCCAGGACCTGAACCTGTGTCCATATGGAATGCTGGCATCACAGCTTTACCCACTAGGACACAATGCTGGGAAATTAATAAAAATTTAAAAAGAAAAGAAAGATTTGTGTTGTAGATCAATCAGTATGACTACTTTCAGTGAATGACTATCAGAACAACACTGCTGGAACAGAAGGACAAGTTAGAATACAATAGTGCTAGTCTGGGACCTTGTTTGCAGCATATAACTTAAATGTAGAGGGTTTTAAAAATATTTAAAAGGCTAAGTGGTCAGGTTTAGATGGCTTATTCATTGGCTTTTAAAATTAGTATCCAAAATACAAGAGACCTCAAATAGCTAAAGAATTTTAAACAACGAAACAAAGCAGAGGCATCACAATATCAATTTCAAGAGATACTACAGGGCAGTTACAATCAAAATAGCCTGGTACTGGCACAAAAACAGATTTTAAGACCAATGGAACCGAATAGAAACTCGAGAGATTAATCTATGCATCTACAACGAATGAATTTTTGACAAATGAGCTGAAGTCAATCCCTGTAAAAGGGACAGTCTCTTCAACAAATGGTGCTGGGAAAATCAGATCTACAAATGCAGAAGTATGAAACAAGAGCCCTACCTTACACTTTATACAAAAATAAACTCAAAATGAATCAAGGATCTAAATTTGATACCATCAAATTACTAGAGGAAAACTTTGGGAAAACTCTGCAAGACATTGGCATAGGCAAATACTTCTTGGAAAAGACCCCAGAAGCAATAGGCAATAATGTTAAAAATAGACACATGGGATTACATCAAGCTAAGAAGCTTCTGAACTGCAAAATAAAACCCTACAAAATGAAGAGGCATCCGTCAAAGTGGTCGAAAATATTTGCACACTGTAGAAGTGATGAAGAATTTATATGCAGGATTTATAAAGAGCTTAAGAAACTCAACAACAACAAAACAAATAACCCAGGTAAGAAACAGGTAAAGGGCATTAACAGACAATTGTCAAAGGATGAAATCAAAATGGCCAAAAGACACATGAAAAAATGCCCAGGGTCACTAGCCATCGGGGAAATTCAAATCAAAATCATAATGAGGTTTCACCTCACCTCACCCCAGTTGGAATGACTATCCGAAAATCATAAAAACAATAAATGCTGGCAAGGATGTGGGGGGAAAAAGATACCATAATACACTGTTAGTGGGAATGTAAACTAATACAACCATTCTGGGAGATGGTATGGAGATTCCTCACAGTTGTACCATATGACCCAACAATCCCACTCCTGGGAATTTACCAAAACAAAATGAAATCAGCATATGAAAGAGTTTTTTGTACCCCCATGTTTATTGCAGCTCAATTCACAATAACTAAGTATGGAATCAACCCAGATGTTCATCAACTGATGACTGGATAGGAAAATGTGGTATATACCCAATATGGAATACCACTCAACCATAAAAAAAGAAAGAAGTCCTGTTTTTGCAACAAAATGGATGCAACCAGAATCCATTATGCTTTGTGAAGTAAGCCAGCCTCAAAAAGCAAATATCATATGTTTTCTCTGATATGTGGTTGTTAAGATAGAGTGCAAAAAATGTACAGGAAAGAAGTAGTCATTTTGGGATATGATTATCATTTTTAGCCATTGTTCCTATGCCTGTGGAACTATGGTCGTCCTACTTTTTACTTGTTGAATATTAGGATTAGTGGCAAATTAAAACTGTGATTATAGAATGGGTTAAAATTATGTTTTGCAAAAACTGATGAGAGGGGAGGAAGGGAATAAAACTGGAGGGGAGCTGAGTAGGGGAGTGAGGGAGATGTGGCTGTCTTCTTGGAACTTTACCTATGTAAACTGTAAAATCTGTTCTGTTTATGTTAATGAATTTTTTTAAAAAAGATTAATACCATTGAATGCCTTTTAGAGGCACTGTACCAGCTTCAGTGCTTGGTGTAGCAGTGAGCAGCACAAATACCTCTGCTGACATGGAGCTGACATTCTAGTGGCAGGGAAAGGCAATGACAAAATGGTCAGTGTATAGTGTACCTCATGGTGACAACTGGTGAAGCAGAACAAGGATAGAAAGTGTGGGAGTGGAATGATCAGGCTTAGGAAAAATACTGCAGAACTCCTGGTTACATTTGAATTTCAGAATGATAATGTATAGCTTTTTTTTAGTGTAAGGATGTCCTATGTATTTGGGGCGACATCCGTATACTCAACTTATTCATTTACATGTGACCAGGTATTCTGATAAAATGCTGGCCCTGGCATGGGGCGGGGGCGGGGGGAGTATGACATATGGAGGATCGTGAGAGAGGTCTCCTGGTATGTGATATTTGTGTATCTCAGGGAAGTTAAATGCTGAAGCCAACGGTGTTGCTCTGTGTGGAAAGAGCAGCTGAGGAAGGAATGGCAAGGGCAAGTTCCTGAGCCAGGAGCATGGATGTTCCCAAGAACACAAGGAGGTCCCTGTGCAAGAGTGGAAAGGCAATCATCACTGGGGGGAATTCCGGGTTTCCCGGAGACTGAAGCAAATATAATTATGGAGATTCTAGAAAAAAAGAACATCAAGTTACAAAAATCAGGAATTGGTACAATCAGTCACAGAAAATGAAAAACGCATAGATACTAAAGATGGAAAAAATACAGAAACTATTGATTAACTGCCTGACACACTTCTGTAAGACATCTTTTCTCCCTTTGTGTGAACTTCTCTTCTTATGAAAAATGTATTATAATGTGATTTTCTGTAGAGTGAGGAAAGGAAGATAGTTCAGTCTTTCCTCTAGCATAGTTGACCAACATTTGTCCCTTATTCTTTAAAATTTTAAACTTACTTCTTTTTGTTTATTTGAAAAGGATAGGGGGAGAGGAAAGGAGAGAGAGAGATAAATAGAAAGGCAAAGAGGGAAAGAGGGAGAGAGGTCTCCCAACTGCTGGTTCACTCCCCAAATGTCTGCAGTGACAGGCCTGGGCCAAAGCAAACCCAGGAGCCAACAACTCTCTCCAGGTCTCCTCTGTGAGTGGCTGGGCCTCAAGTACTTGAGTCACCATTGTTGCCTCCCAAGCTGAGTGACAAGACTTGAACAAGGCACCCCACTAGGGGATGTGGGTACCCCAAGTGGCATTTTAACTACTGTACCAAAAACGTTCCCCTGTCCTTTTTCCTTGAAAATTTAAAAAACTTTCTTTTCAGATTCACTGTTTACTAATGCTAATACCAAGTAACATTGTAGACTTTTGTCTAATTTTGAAAAATATCTCTATCCAGCTTTTGTCCTATAAAATTACTATAAAATTACTCCCTTAAGCCCTTTTATAAAGTACTAATTTTCAGAAGGGCAGAGCCTTCCTGGCCTAATCCTTCCCTAAAGCCACACCTCTGAAGACAGTTGTATTGGGTATTCTGTTTCAACATGAATTTCAAAGGAGACAAAGTCAATCCATGACAGCAATCTGGAAGAATGTGAAGTCAGAGTCCCTCATGTCCAGGAGGGGCCTTGAAACATCACTAACTTCACAGTAAATGCACTCTGCAATGGTTAGCATGTACGTGGCTCTAATAACTAATATGATACTGGTCTATTCATAATGATGTTTTGAATTGCATCAGTTCTAAAAGGCACATTTTAATATAGTTAAAAATGACGATCATCTTACAATAAATGATGTCTTGGCAAATGTTGGTCAGGTAGTAATTCATAGGAAGGTTCTCATTACCTACATAAGAAAGCATGAACTTCAAAAAGTGCCAGCAACATGGTTTCTATGGCTTGAATAGGATTTGGCTTCTACACCCATGTGCATGGTTACATGCCAAGGTCCTAAGATGATGGTACTAGAGGGTAGAAACTTAACCCAATTATGATGTCTAGTGGGAGGCTCTTAGTTCATTGGTGTGTGCCCCTCAATGCCATTTCTAATGATAGTGTTGTTTATAAAACCGGAGAGTTGGGCTGACTTGTTCTCTCTGCTCCCCAACTCACTATGTGATCCTTTCTCTGCCCATTCTCTCTCTCTCTTGCCATGTGTAATGCTTCTGGACCCTGTCAGCAAGAGTGACATCATCAGTGGGGTGACCTGATCTTATACTGTGAACCTCCAAGACTGTGAGCCAACATAAACGTCATTCTTTCAGCAGTAACTTGTCTTAGATATTTCACTGTACTAATGAAAAGCTGACTCATACCATGGTATACTGGAAATGTAGGATTGATTTGTTATTGGCTACATGAGTATATATAAGTACATATGTAATGAACCAGTGGTGTAATGAGAATAAATAGGAATACAGTGAGGCAGTAAAATAAGTGCTTTTAACAATATTCCTGAAGAGGGAACAAAAATCTAACTAGCTGTGCATAATGTACTAGATTAATAGCCCTCCATCAAAGTCTTAGTATGTCAAGATTCTTTTACAAAAGTCATAGCATCAATATTTTGGATGGTACAAAAGATAATAGTATAAAAAAACATGGATAGGAAGATTCTGAGGCAAACATATGATTTGAAACAAATAATGAATTTGAAAAAAATTCAAATATACTTTAAAACTACTTATTTTGCTTGTCTTTTCATGTTGAGTAGAAATGATACATGATAAAATCTATATCTGATTAACTTTAAAAGTAAAACGTCTGCATGAAAAGAAAGTTTTGTGTCCTAGTTTAATTGGCAGAATTTTTCTTTCTTAGTGGTCCATAAAATGAAGGTGCATGAAAATCAATGGCCTCTGAGATCGATGCAATATGGTGACTACGTTGGGAGAAAGGGTGGCATGGTTGCTCATATATGTTGGTGTGGGTAGGAGTTGATGAAAGGGCTGTAAATTCTCATCTTCTCTTTAGGGCATCAATATGAATTGCCTACATCTGTAAAATCAAGAAACAACAATGTAAGTGCGTTATTTGGAGATAAACAAGAATATTATATTAGTTAGCAAGTGCTTCCATGATAAAATATCACAAGCTAGATGGATTAAAGACTAGAAATTTGTTTTCTCATAAACCTAGCAACCAGAAATCCAGGATCGAGGTGTCTGAAGTGTTGGTTTCCTAAGAAGCCTCTTTGGCTTGTAGCTGGTCATCCCCTCTCTGTGTCTTTACATGGTCTTTCTGCTGTGCTTAAATGGGTCCAAATTCTCTTGTGTAAATATACACATTGGACTATGGCCTCCCCAAATGCTCTTGTTGAAATTCAGTGACATTTTTAGTGACCATCATCTTCAAATATGATCACATTCTAGGGGCTGTGACCATGGGAGTGGAGTAAGGGAGGGAACAGAGCAGCAACAAATATCAAACAACTCAGAGAAATGATTGAAAATTATTTGCCACTGACAAGGAGTACATTGTGGTTTTATTAACAAATTTTTACCTGAATTAGCATGTGGGCAACTTTGATTTAAAAAACACATACAAGAAAGAAAGGAAAGAAAATTCTAGGAGAAAAACTGGAGATAGTAAGACTACTCCTTTGTAGAAGACTGTCGTAACAGGAGCATTAAACCTATAGTTACTAGAGAGATTTATAATGAAAAATCATTGTAAATTTTAATGGCAAGTATTTTTTAAGAATCATTCAAATGTTTATTTGAAAAGCAGAGTGACAGAGAGGGAGAGGCATGAAAATGGTTCTTCCATCTGCTAATTCACTTCCCTAATGGCTGTGACAGTCAGGGCTGAGCCAGAAGCCATGAACTCTGGTCTCCCAAGTGGGTGGCAGGGACTCAGGCAACCAGGCTATCCTCTATGATTTTCCAGGTGCATTAGCAGGGAGCTGGATCAGAAGAAGAGCAACTGGGACTTGAACTGGTGCTCTGATATAGAATGCCAGCATTGCAAGTGATGGCTTAACCTTCTGGCCACAATGCCAGGCCCTAATGGCAGGTAATGGGAATGAGCCAAGAAAGGGAAAATTGATGTTGACAAAATTAAGTTTTATCTTTAGAGGGAAGTGGAGATTGGTGGAATGGGCAAAGTAGTGATGCAGAGTCCCCGTGTAGAGGGGCATGTAATCCGGGCAGCAGATGTGGTGTTAGGCTCTTTCATGTTCTTTGGGGTTGTTTCTATGTTTCAGAGAAGTAATAGGAAAAGTCATCAGCTGAAGTTGAAGACCAGGGAGGGATACTGGTAGTTTGAGGAGAAGGAGGAGTTGTGAAATAGGCATTTAGCAGAGCACAAATTGACTGGAGAGATGCTGCAAGATTGTTAAGTAGGAGTGCGCTGGAATTTAGTGGTCGCGAATGTGAAGTGAAGTCAGCCAGCACGCGGTGATTGATTACATGCTGGAGATGAACGATGTGCAGCCTGGAGAGGAAAGCACCTCGGGAAGCTCCTGAGTTGGTGCCTTGAGCATTGGGTGGATACCGGTGCCATTGAATCTGTGGGGTCCAGACAGAGACAGAGGTGCAGAACAGGGACTAGAGATGCTATGAACTCAGGTTTTAAGATGTTAACTGAAGGATATTCAAATGGACTGGTGTGCAGCCAGAATTTAAAGACACCAGTTCTGGACAGCAAAGGAGAATTTCAGGTTTCATAATATAAATTCATATCACCAGCACATATGAACATGAATTGAATGCATTTGTCCAGATAGGATGTTTAGAATGAGCCTCACTGTGATGCTTGTTGGTTGTGAGATGTCTGTAGGGCTACGGCTTTATTAAGGATGGAAACATAAGATATATTCTGAAATGGCAAGGCAAAGGAGTTTGTACAGTGGGAGATGAAAACACATTGCTTGTGCCTTGTCCAAGCCGCTGAGCTGCACCAGAGCATTCCTCTGGGGGCCCCGTGGTGCCCAGTGAGTCCAGTGGTCCTACAGCTACAATGCTTTCATTTGCTTAATGCCTAAGATTTTTAAAAATCAAAATAGAAACCTATATTAACTTATGTAGAAACATTTTAAAGTCAGATGAATAGTGTATTCTTTCAGCTTTCACTGTACATACAAATATTTCTGTTACACAGAAAGTAATTAATATGTATGTTAATTGATTGAATGGTTGAAAGTACAAAGAAAAATGTCCTTATCAAACTTGTTGTATTAAAATCTATGACATTATAATTACACTTGTGTTTTGAAACAAATGATTGAGTGTTCTTTCAGATATGTTGAAAACTTGATTCATGCACATGGCGTTTCCTATAAGTTTCACAGAATTTTTAAATCTATGTTCACCTCACTTTTTTAAAGAAGTCAGAATTAGAATAAATGGGCCGGCGCCACGGCTCACTAGGCTAATCCTCCGCCTTGCGGCGCCGGCACACCGGGTTCTAGTCCCGGTTGGGGCGCCGGATTCTGTCCCGGTTGCCCCTCTTCCAGGCCAGCTCTCTGCTGTGGCCAGGGAGTGCAGTGGAGGATGGCCCAAGTGCTTGGGCCCTGCACCCCATGGGAGACCAGGAAAAGCACCTGGCTCCTGGCTCCTGCCATCGGATCAGCGCAGTGCGCTGGCCACAGCGCGCCGGCCACAGCGCGCCGGCCGTGGCGGCCATTGGAGGGTGAACCAACGGCAAAAAGGAAGACCTTTCTCTCTGTCTCTCTCTCTCACTGTCCACTCTGCCTGTCAAAAATTAAAAAAAAAAAAAAAAAGAATTAGAATAAATGACAATTAGAAGAGGATCCAATTTCAATGTCCTTCTTTGGTTTACTTATAGGCACATTTATAAATATTTATTAATTGTATATCACATACTTCATAAAACTGAAATCTTGAAAGATTTTATGGTAGTAATCTGAAAAAAATCTTAAAAACCAATAGTGTTGAGATAATATTTAGATAATAAATTAAGAGATATGGACATATGTTCAATATTTGAGGAAAAATGCTTCAAAGGGAACTATATTAGTATTCTTTTAATAGTATTCTACATCATAGGTATAGCACTATGAAACTGATCATCTGACATCTTATGGCTTGCATACTATTATTAAATTATAATCAAATCAATGCTTTGTAATTATTTAAAACAGAACTATCATTTTAAATTTTATAATATGTTCAATAGTTAAATAATTTAATGAAAAATCAAATGTACCGTTTTGATAATGTACCAGGATTTATAGAAACTTAATTTCTTTTATCTTTTATTCTGATATCTCTAAAATAGTGATGTTGGCATTTGACACTCAATTTTATATTTGCCCATGAAAAGATTTCTTTTCAGTGAATTCAGAATACAATACTTTTGGGGTCCTACAAAAAATTTCTGCTTCAAAAATGAAAATAAATGCATTTAATCATGAATTTTCTAACCAATGTATGCATTTCTCTTTTTGTGACCTCTTGGGTGAGGGGTTTTCTTCAATCTCCAGGATACGTCATGCACAACAAACCCAGTATTGGGATGGCCTTGAATTCCTTGCTTGTTTGTTACGTGTCTGGGTATGTTTGTGCAGGTACAACTTCATGTTAGCTTATTTATTTACATTTAGCCCATTATCTCCATACAGAAACAAACTCTGCTGTGTTTTGCATACCTCTCCCTTCCCCCCCCCCCCCACCCTGCCCCCTACCTTGCCATCTTTCCATTGCAGACTCTGTGTGTAACCATTGGGTGGATCATTTTCCTTGTATCTGTGTACTATTGCAGCTAATCACCTGGTAAATTTGGGCTTATGCTAAATAATCAAATAGTTCTATTGTCAAGAAGACAGGGTTTATAGCCATTTTGGTCATCGAATTTGGAGTTAGACAATTTAAGGTTTATTCTGACATTTTTAAGCTGTGTGATTCTGAATACATCACCTGAAATCTCAATTTCTCATCTATGAACTAAGGACAACAATACAGATGAAGACGTGTATTATCATGAGTATGACAATGAAATAATACAGGCAAAACATTTAGCTGCATGCTTTGCTTATAGAAATTAGTTATTATGGTGCCATTATTTTCATGAAATTCATATGGACTATTTTCCACCACCTAGCCATGTGTATCCGCTTGGACATTGTGGTGGTCAATGTTGGAGTATCTCATTAGCATAATATGATAGCACTTTTTTTGAGAAATGTTTTGGTAATTCAGAAGCACATCATGCAATGGAGCTTTCTACCGGAGTCAAATGTCTAGGGGTAGGATCTGACCCAAGTCACTCCAGTAAAGGTCCTTCCATTGAAGTTTTCAAATTAAAACTGGAGAAAGAGCTCTACTGACTCTGTTTCTGAAAGTTGATCTAACAGATGTGAAGTTTGGGGCTGGCACTGTGGTTTAGAGAGTGAAGCCACAGCTTGCAGTGCCACCATTCTGTAACGGCCCCACTTCTAATACATCTCCCTGCTAATGTGCCTGGGAAAGAAGTGGAAGATAACCCAAGTCCTTGGGCCCTTGCACCACTTGGAAGTCCTGGATAAAACTTCTGGCTCCTGGCTTCAGCTTGGCCCAGGCCTGGCCATTGCGTCCATTTAAGCAGTGAACCAGCAGTTGGAAAATTTCTCTCTGTCTCTGCCTCTCATTCTTTGTAACTCTGACTTTCAAATAAATAAATAAATCTCTTTTTAAAAAAGTCTTTCCCCCTAAATAAATAAATAAATAGAAGACGTGAAGCTGATAACCTTCTGGAGACTTCCATGAGTATAGTACTGTAAGATGACATCAGCTTGAGAATTAGAGAGACTATAGAAAGAAGCAGAAGAGGCCGGCGCCGCGGCTCACTAGGCTAATCCTCCGCCTAGCGGCGCCGGCACACCGGGTTCTAGTCCCGGTCGGGGCGCCGGATTCTGTCCCGGTTGCCCCTCTTCCAGGCCAGCCCTCTGCTGTGGCCAGGGAGTGCAGTGGAGGATGGCCCAGGTGCTTGGGCCCTGCACCCCATGGGAGACCAGGAAAAGCACCTGACTCCTGGCTCCTGCCATCGGATCAGCGCGGTGCGCCGGCCGCAGCGCGCCGGCCGCGGCGGCCATTGGAGGGTGAACCAACGGCAAAGGAAGACCTTTCTCTCTGTCTCTCTCTCTCACTGTCCACTCTGCCTGTCAAAAAAAAAAATCATAATAGAAGAAAAATAAAAAAAAAAGAAGCAGAAGAACCATTACTTCAATGCTTCCTGTTATGTTTATGAAACACCTACTTGCTGAGAGAATGAGAATGTGATGATGAGAAGAACCAGCTGGGACTCCTGGTTCTTTTGCATCTTGGAGCACATAAGCTGTGAAATGTCAAGTATGAGAGACAGACCCTGACAGAATAAATACAATCCAGAGTGACAGACTGCACACTAAGTATTAGGAAGGAGGGAAGAAAGGTCCCATGGAAGTCTCTAGAAAACAAAGCTGACCTTGACAGGCAATCAGAAAAGTCATCCACATGTCACACGAGCTAAAGCAATGCACCAGAGGGGCATCCTAGGTAAGGAAGGAGAGATGAGTGGTTCAGGGGAAAGAAAAAAGACATACAACAAATTCAAGGAGGAACATGGAGCATTTAGGAAGTTGAAATTAAAGTATGGAACAGTGGTTCAGAATGCAGACTCTGTACTCAAACTCCTTATTTTCAGATATCTACAAGTAATCAGGTGTAGATCTTGGTGCAAATTATTTGATTACTCTCTGCATCAACTTCTTCAAATGTGTAAGGGATGAAACAGCTTCTATAGCCACTTCAGAGAGGTCTGTGAGAGCTGAGAATAATCGTATACGTATTGGACATAGCACAATGTGTTCAGCACAGACTGTTCAATGTCTAGCTGCCATCCAGGAGGATGACCGTGACAGAAGAGTCTGAGCAGCTGAGAGCATGAGAGTTGATCTGAATTCCTTTTTTGCAAAGAGCCCCATGTCTGTAGAGTAGAAAGAGATTTGATGCAGACAAGGCTAAATGTAGAAAGGGCAGCCAGGAAGTCTTTTTGCTGCCAGGCTAGAGGATAGGAGCTTGGATATGACTGGCGGCAGTGGAGAGGGCATATTTAAAATGTTTGGGAAGTGAAATTTACAGCTCTTAGAAATAAACTGGAAATCGTATTTAAGGAGGAAGAAAGTGTCAGGAGGGGAAGGAAGTTCTCAGAGGTGAGGATGAAGAGGAGCAGGAAGTTCAAGTACAAAAAAAAAATCACAATTCAGCTTAAGTCTTATTGCAGAGATGGGAACAAATTGCTAAGTGAACCCAGGAGTAAATTCATTTGTAAAGAATTTGAGGGTCCTTGGGAAGTTTCACTAAATAGTTTTGAAATATGCTGGTTTTTTTTTTTTTTTGCAGATCAAAAACCAAAATATGGAGGCTGAAAATAATGTTGAGTTATTTTTCTGTGCTTGCCTCTGAAAAATTCAAAAACTTGAGCTTTAAATAGCTAAATGCTTTATCTTTATGTTTCACTGTTTTATCAACACTCTCCTACACTTTGGAAATGATATTCAATGCTTATTTTTAAATATAAAATCATAATTGTGCAAAATGAGCATTTCTGATAAAGTAGACAATAGATTCTGGAGCTTCACGGATCTCACCAAGCAAGTCAATCTCTTGCATTCTGTGGGGGAAATAGCTAAGGGGCAGAGTGGGCCAGAGTCTTCCATACTCTTTGTTCCCTCTGGGAGAGAATGTTAAATGGATGCACACCCCCACATTCCACCCCACCCCTTGCAGTATGATGCAGCAAGTTAAAACTTAATAATAGATTAAAGTTTCTGGAAATTAGATTTCTGAATGTGGGGCCTTATTTTATTTTTATTCAAGGTGGGGGAGGGAGGATGAGGGCGAGAGATATCTTCTACTTCTTAGTCCACTTCCCACATCGCCACAACAGCTGGAATTCAGCCAAGCTGAAGCTGGGAACTGAATACTCAGTCCAGGTACGGGAGTGGCAGGGATTCAATCACGTGAGCCCTCACCATTGCCTTCAGGGCATCGACAGGAAACTTGAGTCAGGCTTTAAAGGCAGGAGTCAAATCGAGGCGCTCTGATGTGGAACACTGGTATCCGAACCAAGGGATGAAATACTATGCCAAGTGCTGACCACCATATTTTATTATATTTCTCCCATTTGGTATAAGCATACTTTGCTCTTGAATAACTCGAAAGATATGCAAATAAAAATTAATGATGAAAAATGTAAGCTTGAAAAAATAAAATAAAATTTATATTTTAAAAAAATTGACTCAAAATATGCATAATGATGAATGAATAAAGAATAGCTGCTATAGTTTTATTAAAATGATGCAATCTAATGGAGAAAAGGAAAGGAAAAAAGCCACACAATTTCATTTAGGAATCTGAAGGAGAAAAAGCAAGCAAACCATTAGATCCATAGCAAATGTTGAATATAAAAATTCCTGCTTCTATTTTTTAAAATAGTTTTAAAATTTTATATTTTGACATTATAAATTAAAAAGTCAATTCCTAAAGAGTTTGTTCTCTATCATTTTCAAATTTCAAAATTTTAGGTCCTATGATACCATGAGATTCTATTCTGAGTGAATTTTGATCATCTTAATGTTTACTTAGTAATAAGTGTTTATATTGTACAGGTTGAGTATCCCTTATCCAAATGCACGAACCTAGAAGTACTTTGTATTTCTGATTTTTCAGAATCTGAAAACTTTGCATACATAAAATGAGATATTTTGGGGCTAGATCCTGAGTTTAAACACTTAATTCATTTATGTTTCACATATGCCTTTACACATAGCCTGAAGGAAATTTTATGCCATATTTTTAGTGCACCTGCATTTGACTATGACTGGTCAAGTCAGGTGTGGAATTTTCCACTGTGGTGTTACGCCACTGATCAAAAAGTTTCAGGTTTTGGAGCATTTTGGATATCAGATTTTCAAGTCTATATATAAAAGGCAATATGATGGTTGTTTGTATTGATGCTTTAAAAATCACCATAAACTTAATGGATTAACATAACATACACTTATTTTCTCAAAGTTTTGTGGTTTAGAAAGTTGTTATGGGTGTCATGGGCTAAAATCAAGGTGTCAGCAAAGCTACACTCCAAGCAGGAAAGTCTCAGGGAGACTTTGCAGATCTAAAATCAAAATATGGAGGCTGAAAATAATGTTGAGTTATTTTTCTGTGCTTGCCTCTGAAAAATTCAAAAACTTGAGCTTTAAATAGCTGAATGCTTTATGTTTCACTGTTTTATCAACATTCTCCTACACATTGAAAAATGATGTTCAATGCTCATTTTTTTGTTGTTGTTGTTCCAGGGTCAGTCAATTTCTTGGCAGAATTCAGTTCCATGAAGTTGCAGGACTGGGGTGACCATTTCCATGTTGGCTTTGACTGGGATTCCTCAGTGTCTCCAGGCTTCCTAACTACCTTCATCTACAAAGCCCAGAAGGGCCGGTCCTAGCCTTCCCATTATTCTTTCTGACTTCTTCAGCCTCATCTCTCCTGCTTCCTAGCCCAGGTAAGGTGGAGAAAATTCTCTTCTTTCTCATGTGACTATATTGGACACATGTGTTTAATACAGTGTAACGACAATCTTCCAACTTAAGGCTGGTATCCACAAATGTGTATTACAAATAATATCTGTTTGAAGCTTTGAAGTATCCACTGAGTCTAAGCAGTTTTGTTTTTTAACAGTGAGCAATTAAGAAAAATCTATAACATACACACTGTGTTTTCCTAAGAAAATTTGTAAATTATACTTATATTAGCTAACATTGTTTTATTTCTAAAATTACCATCAAATTACATATATTTGGTAACTCCCTTTGAAGTAAATGAGCAACATTTATTCTCAATAAAGCTTCCATTTTAACTAGGCACATTAGATATCATTAGCACAAATTCATTATAAACTACATCCCAGATTTCATACCGGGTTTATTTACCCAGCACTTGTTATATATGAAAAGTTAACTGAGATAATATTAATATTAGTTTTGTGAAATGCCCTGCAGTTATCGAGAATCTACTTACTATGAGAAGCAATTTTTGCTTTCTTTTGAAATTCACAATGGACAAAATACCTAATCCATGTTTAGTTTATACGTATTAATCTAACCATTCTGCACTTGTTCTCATTCTAATGATATATGTAAATTCAAAGGCAGAATTTATAATACATGGATATTAAATTTCAAACTTCGTTTTTTTATGTCATTAATTATGCTAAAAGGTACATAAAATTCTCTATAATTGCCCAGCTTATCACTATTTTAATGTAGCATCCTCTTTTAAAAATGTAATTTTGGTTTTTTGGCTTTCGTCCTTGATTCATATTTTATCCAAGCACTGCGGTCTTGGATATCCCCTGCTGAGACAGATCCATGCCTAACAAGGGTCTTTTTTTTGGACCTTGGTAATGATCCTAATGCTGATGACAATCCCTGCCACTCTTTTTAGGCTGTAGCTTTTCAAGGCAGAGTGGTGCTCCCTGATCCTTCTTAAGCTGCTGTTTAAATGTAAATTAGAGGAGACTAATTTACATTACTTATTCCAGGCATCCATATGCAATACCAGATTGCAATAAGAAATATTTGTAAGAAGTTATCCCTATATTTATGTTATGACACTCATCACTATGACACTTAGTGCTTAAGCAGCCAAACTAGAAGTATTTCAATTATCTACCTAAGGGAAAAATCATCCAAAACAGACAGACCTTTGTGTCTTTCAGAACTGGTTTGAGGACTTTTAGTGCTCTTGGTGTAATTAGATAGCAGTTTGGTCAGAGGAGCTATTTGCATCTTTTTGTGAATTAGAGAGATTAACTGGGTTTTGAAAGGCAGAAATGGACCTCGGATGGTCTCTTATCACCTTTTCCAATGTAGATTTTAATTTTTTTAAAGTTCCAGCTCAAGGTAAATGATGGTACATTATCCTAGCAGAAGGCAATTAACAGTAGCTTTCAAGGGCAAAGAAGAGAGAAAACTTGCCTCCCAGCCTATAGAAGGCAAACCATTTGAACATTTGGGCTTTGCCCATGAAAGGAGAAATTTATGTTCTCTAAAGTTTCAATTTACCCTCTACTTTGGCAGTTGGAATCCTATTTATAACTTGACTGTGGAAATTTTTCTTATCAGCAAAAGTTCAGTCATTATCACCAAACATCAATAGCATTTGAAAACAAGGAGTCAGTAGAACACTATACTGTTCATATTGGCACTTAAAGAACAGATAAGTTTCATTGATATTTTTACTCAACTTGTCACTTAAAATACTTTGACTGAGATCCTTGGCTTTTCATTTTTTTTTCCTTTTTTTTTTTTTTGACAGACAGAGGGAGGGAGACAGAGAGAAAGGTCTTCCTTTTTCCGTTGGTTCACCCCCCAAGTGGCTGCTATGGCCCCGGGCGTGCTGCACCCATCCAAAGCCAGGAGCCAGGTGCTTCCTCCTGGTCTCCCATGCAGGCGCAGGGCCCAAGCACTTGGGCCATTCTCCACTGCCCTCCCAGGCCACAGCAGAGAGCTGGACTGGAAGAGGAGCAACCAGGACAGAACTGGCACCCCAACCGGGATTAGAACCCCGGGTGCCGGTACCTCAGGCGGAGGATTAGCCAAGTGAGCCGTGGCGCCTGCCTGGCTTTTCATTTATAATCTGGAATTTTCATTCTCTGAGCCTAACTATTCTCAACTGCAAGATTGTATCATTATTACTCATTTCATTGATTTATGTTAAGGGCTCATACTCATAGAGATAATACTTGCAAAATCTTTTGCTTGTGCTTATTATTTAAATGCTCAATAAATGGAAGATACTATTAATACTATTGTATTAGTATTATTTGATGCTTGTAGATCATCTGCTAAATGTGAAGGAAGGCATTATTCTCATTTCACAGCTGAAGAAACTGAGCCTCGGATTTAGCTGGAGGTTTCCTTGCACATCATGGAGTCCTCACAGTGACTGCCATCACTCAGCTCTGATTCTTGGCCATGCACAGGAAACCATGTCTAGAAGATCTTTTTGATTTGAAGATTTGTGGCACCTGTCACACGCATTATATACCATCACAATGGCTGATCGCTCTACCTGCTTCCTGTTCAGCAGACATGAGCCTTTCTCAGCTCAGAAAGTTGGTCCAGATGCAAAACCATAGTGCTAGAAGGCTGCCAATAACACACATTCTCTTAAGTGCTTGGTGGTAAAGCTGGCTTCATTCTTCCATTCAAAATAATCACTCCTCATTACTCATTCTTTTTCCTCACTGAGTTGACTTTTATTGGAAATAAGCTGTTAAGCCTGACCTCTCTTAAAGATAAATGCTTTATTTTTCTTTATGTGTTTATTTTTGTGTCTTTCTCTCTTTTTTTTTTTTTTAGATTTATTTATTTATTTGAAAGAGTTACACAGAGAGAGGAGAGACAGAGAGAGAGAGAGAGAGGTCTTCCATCCGATGGTTCACTCCCCAGATGGCCGCAACGGCCAGAGCTGCACCGATCCGAAGCCAGGAGCCAGGAGCTTCTTCCCGGTCTCCCACATGGGTGCAGGGGCCTAAGGACTTGGGCCATCTTCTACTGCTTTCCCGGGCCATAACAGAGAGCTGGACAGGAAGTGGAGCAGCCGGGTCTCGAACCAGCACCCAAATGGGATGCTGGTGCTTCAGGCCAGGGCGTTAACCCACTGTGCCATAGCACTGGCCCCTATTTTTGTGTCTTTCTGAAAAAGCTAAATGATTGATCTTCAGGATGGAAATTCAGATGGTTTTATTTTCATCTCAATATTGAAATTAACTGTCACTGGATTTTCTTTTTCCAAAGATTTATTTTTTATTTATTTGAAAGTCAGAGATACAGAAAGTGGAGGAGAGACAAAGAGAGAAATTTTCCATTTGTTTCCATTTTCACTCCCCAAATGGCTACAATAGCCAGAGCTGAATGAGGCTGGAGCCAGAAGTTGGGAGCTTCCTCCAGGTCTTGCAGTTTGGTGCAGGAACACAAGCACTTGGGCCATCTTCTGCTGCCTTCCCAGGCACATTGGCAGGGAGCTGGATTGGAAGTGGAGCAGCTGGGTCTCAAACTGGTGCCTATGTGAGATGTCGGTGTTGCAGGCTTAACCTGTTATGCCTCAACATGGGCCTGTCACTCAGTCTGTAGTAGCAATGTTAACAAGGTATTTGAATTTTTCTGTCTTGATATAGAAATGAACTACATTGGTTAAATGAAGCACATGTGTTTTTAAAAGGTTAAGGGGAAAGTAGATAGCTTTTCTGTAAGTTTTTATTTTTTAACAGTACTTGAAAGGAGCCAGCATTACCTTTTGAGGGTTATGAGGAAATGGCTGAAGTGCCTTGCAATCTGAGTAGATCTTTGATCACATAACATGCCTACAGATGACTATTGTTTTTGACTACATACGATTACAGGAAATGAGCAGGTAGACTGAGTTAAATGTTTGAGTGTTTTATGGATGAGTGTGTATGAGTTAGGTGAATCAGAGCAGGAGGGAACCAAGGCTGAGAGAAAGAATAAAAGCAGATAGAGTGGCATATGAAGGGCAGTTGCTGTGGCACAGCAGTTGCAGCACCAGGATCCCACATGAACCCTGGTTCAAGTCCTGGCTGCTCCACTTCTGATCTAGCTCCCTGCTAATGCACCTGGGAATGCAGCAGAAGATGGTCCATGTGCTTAGGCCACTGCACCCATGTAGGAGTCCTGGAAGAAGTTCCTGGCTCTCAGCTTCAGCCTTTGTGGCCACTGGGGAGTGAACCAGCAGATGGAAGATCTGTCTGTCCCTTTCTCGGTCTCTCCTCTCTCTCTGCAACTCTGACACTGTAACTCTGGGATCCTGGCATTGCAGCCTGTGATTTAAATTTTTGCACCACAATGCAGGCCCCCTACAAATTGTGAAAATGAGAGTAAGACTGTCATTCTTCCAAACTCTAGATGTCCATCATAGTTTAGAATCCAAAATATCTGATGACATAATGAACTACTTTATCAAGATATCTATAGCATTGCAGAGTATATTTTCCTCTCATGATAAACTTTGAGCATATGGCTTTTATAGCTAAGGAGTGTTTTGTAAACCATCCAGTTTTACCACCATTTAATAGATACATTAACTGAATATATTAACTGAATATAGAGAGGCACAGGTACAATTTTACATAGCAAGTTAGTTAGTGAAAGGTTCTGAATTAGGGTACATTTAAGTTTCCAGGAGTTTCATATATTAGAAACATCAAATATTTTGTGTAAGAAAAGATGAAAAACTCTGAAGTTATTGCTGAATGGACTATAATGCAGATGCTCTAATTTGACTCATCTACCAACAGGAACAATTCAACTACTCTTTTCAGACCTAAGTGGTGAGTGGCTTTCCGTTAATCCAGTTCTTTCAGCGGTAGCTACCCAACATGCCTCTTTCTGGTGAATGTCACCTCACAGCTGAAGCAAGTTTATGGGGCACTGCCGTTCCCCGGGTGCTCTTTGTTCGGTGGAGAACCAGAGAACTTCAGTCTCAGGGACTGTGAATCCACCACCTTTCATCAGTCCGAAATGCATTTTAAATCAATGTCAGGCTGGCTGCAAAATTGATGTCACTGGCTTCATAGTAGCTGCAGCTTTCCCACAGTTCCATGAGTACCTATCTCAATTACAAATGATAAAACCTAAGAAGATGGGCAAAAACAATGATCTTATGCTGAGTTTAAGAGATGAAAATGACAAAAATATAAAACTGCAAAATTAAGTGATAAACATAGCTGGTACGAGAGAGAGAGAGAAGGAGAGAGGGAGGGAGGGAGGGAGGGAGGGTCCCCCACAAAACTCTGGGTATATTATCATGGATGCAAAGAAAATATATACATATAGAAACTTTATGGTGCTGTTACATACCAGCCTCACATTATTAAATTTGTGTGACTTCTTTGGAGAATGTTGAAAATCTTCCTTTTTCTTTTGTCTGGTGCTTCCGAAGCTATGTTTTTTCACATCTGAGTTTGGTTAGTCAGTATTTCAAACATTATTATACTGAAAACGTTATTATACTGAAAACTCAAATAATATGATTTTGCCTGTAGGTCTCAGATTCCACACAGAATTCTTTAATTATTAGTGAAGAAGTTTGATTTTTTCCATATTTAAACTAGTCTCCTTAGTACTTCTATAACTCAAATATTTTTGATTTTAATTTCTTGTCTCTAATATAGTCCTCAGAGTTTGCACATTTTATTACTCACTCTTTCTCTGACTGGTGGTTATCTGACCAGAAGTATACAAGCACTTCATGAAATAGTGCTTACCAGCCATTTGCCTTCATGTAGAATTCGGCTGAGTGTGATTTTACTACAGTGACAAATTTGAACATAAGTAAGTGGCTTGATAATGTCTATTGCCTAAATGACATTACTTGGAAAATTGCAGAGAATTTGATTATGCTGGTTGATTCTTTATTACTGCTCAAGGTAGAGGGGGAAATAGATTGTTGTTTGTGTGGGAATGGAAAGGTATGACTCTTTCTTCCCCATCATAGAGGTCACGGCTGACATTTTGATAACAAAAGACAGGTTAACAAGAGAAAACATAACAAACTCATTTAGTCCTAAGTTTTACATGGCATGGGGGCCTTCAAAAATGAATACCTAAAGACCAAAGGAAAACAATGTACGTTTATGCTCAAGTGTGATGAACAACGGGCAGCCATGTAGACATGTGACTGAACAAAAGGGTATGAATTGATGGTGATAGATTGGGTGAGATTTATCAACAATTGCTGGGCTGGATCAGGCCAAAGCAAAGAGACTGGAACTCCATCCAGGTTTCCCACATGGGTGCAGAGGTCCAAGGATTGGAGTGATCTTCCACTGCTTTCCCAGGTGCACTTGTAGGGAGCTGGATCGGAAGCAGAGCAATTAGGACTTGACCCTGAGCTTCACTGTGGGATGCTGATATCAGGGGCAGTGGCTTAACCCACTGTGTTGTGACACTTGGTCCTTGAGCCCCAATTTCATAATGAGATACAGAGATGGGGAATGTCCAGTCTATGGGCCATATCAGGCCCATGAAATCATTTGCTTTTGCCCTGCCAAGGCAAGCATAGAAGGCACTCAAAAGTCAACAAATCTATTGCAGGCTAACTTTTAATTTGATAATTTTGTCTGGCCCATGAATGATGCTATAAATACCCAAATGGCCCTTGTTTCAGCCTAAAGGTTCCCCATCCCTGAAAGAGGAGAAGAGACAATAAATAAATTAATTAAGAAAGAAGAACAAGAAAACATGACTAGCTGAGAAAGGGAGTAGAAGCTAAGTTTTACAGCTCTCGGTCCATTCTTTGGTGAAAAAAAAATTGGGAGAACTGAAAAAGAGTGTAAGACATCCGGAAGCAACAGAGGGCAATGGTTAAATACTCAGCTTGTGGAGCTGGAATGCTGGGGTTAAAGAGTATCTGTGATTCTTTCAGCTATGTCTACAATGGCAAACTGATTAATGAAGTCTCAGTTACTTATATGTGAAATGGGACTAATAAAAGTACCTACCTCATAGGTTTATTGGGGAGATTCCATGAGATAATCATGTCTTAATCTTAAATCCAGAGCATGACCCTCTCTAAATGTTACTTCTTATTGAATCTCAAGAGTGTGCTGTGCTTATTATTATATACGTGGGGGTGCTCAAAGGAAAGCTGCAAAGCCAGAGCAAGAGGATATAAAATTAGTTTTGTAGATAAAAGGGATTTGATAAGACAAATGCTTGCTACAATGGCTGTAATGTAAACTTGCTGGAAATAGCTTTGAATGAGTGAGGGATTGCGACAGCCAATTTTAAGTTGGAAGAAAAGTAGGGTTATTATTTTTTAAGTCCAAGTAGAATTGCCTAATGGATTCCATACGTCATGTAAGACTATATGCCTGGCTTACTTCCCCAAACTCCATTTTTAGGGGGAGAATGAGAGGTCTAAGAGGAGGTAACTTGGCATATTAAGCTGAGCAATCTCTATACTCGTTGTCTCTGGAGATCCTGGTGAGACAAGGAGCCACAGGAGTTGCTGGAAAGAGAGCACAAGTTTCTCTCCAGTCTCTTTTGGCCAGAAAAATCTTGAGGCCAAGCAACAGTATACCACTACCCTAGGCTTAACCTAAAGAGAACCCTGTGGTTTGGTGATTAAACTGTTCGCTGGAGACTAAGTTGTAATATACAGGTGTACTTGTAATGGGGGTGTGGGGCAATTTCTGTAACTTTAAAATTGTTCCAGGGGTGGGTGTTTGGCCTGGTTATTAAGATGCTCCCATGCCACACAGAGTGCCTGGGTATGATGCTCTGCTCTGATTCCTGACTCCAGTTTCCTTCCAGT